GAGAGAGAGAGAGAGAGAGAGAGAGAGAGAGAGAGAGAGAGAGAGAGAGAGAGAGAGAGAGACAGTTGCTACATCAATGATCCGGAAATGGACCAAGCAAGTCCAGTTCAGTAATACTATGGCTACAATGCCATCGTCGTGTTCCAAAGTTCACGAAAACAGAGTGGTGAACTGGTTTGTGTGTTTGTTTTGAAGCTAAGAAAATGTCTTATCTTGACCGTTCCCAAATAGTGCTTTCGCCTCTCCCTTTCCTCAACATCATCCTTTTCAAATGGTTAAAGCTATTGCTCTGTGTAGCTTACCTGATCCACTGCGCACTCATGCTGATCGCTAACTGTTCCCTTCCCTCGTGTGTGTGTCCTTCCAATGTGCCTTGGCTTTCTGCTTCTGCGCCTCTGACAATTTTTTAGGACCTCTTCTGTGTCGGAGACTCCGTTTTGGAGATGAGATGATGGCAGCGCGTTTCGAGGATCGGGCTCTTGAGGAATCCTTTTTCCCCTGCGGCATGCATGCATGGGGCAGGCCGCCACAAGCAACCAAAAGTAGGGCCCCAAGGGGGTTGAGAGTGTGGCTGCCTCGGCATTCTGCTTCTGGCAATTTTTTAGGACCTTTTCTGTGTCGCAGACTCCATGTCGGAGATGAGATGGTGGCAGCGCGTTTCGAGGATCGGGCGCTTGAGGATCCTCTTCCCCCTGGGGCATGCATGCATGGGGAAGGCGGGCCACAAGCAACCAAGAGTAGGGTCGCATGGGTTGGAGAGTGGCTGGAGAACACTGGACATGAAATATCAAAAGGTCGAAAAGGGGAGGATATACGTGTGTGAGACAGGAGGGGTGATGCGATGAAGGGGAGGAAGGAGATGGTATAGCTGTGTGGAAAATTTGTGTGAAAAGGGGATGACGGATGAGATGGAGTGAGTCAGCAAAGTTGCAGCGGCGAAACGAGTACATTATTATTTTAGTTTACTCTTTTTCAAAAGTTTTTTTTAATATGTTTCTGAGTTAGATGGAAGATTGCTTCTTTTCTCTTGGTTATGCAGGAAGGAATGGTAGGTAGGAAGATAGGTAGTTCCCTTATGGGCCTTGCCAGTTTTTCTCAAGACTTACAGTGTCCCCTCAATGCTTGCACATCGAGAGTGTTAGAGCCATCAATCGAGCACTGGAACAGGCGGCGATAGATATAGAGACGGGCCAGAGTAAGAAGAAGAGTCGGGCTGCAGTGTGCGCAGAATAGGGAGCAGGTAGTCGAACGGGCATTCGTTATTCGTTATTAACATCAGCGTTGTACCACTGATGGCTCTCTCAGCAGTACCAAACCCACATATCAGTCGGCGAAACTCCGATGAGAAGGTCTGTGAAAGGCCGCCCCGCCACCCCCATGTTTCTGTCCTTTTCTCCCTTTCTGACTACGGTTCACCGGGCAGCTCTCTGTGACTATGAACCGAGCAGCTCTCTGTGACTATAGAGGTGCACCAGGCAGCTGTCTGTGACGATGAACCGAGCCGCTCTCTGTGACTATATACATGCGCTTAGTCTTACTCAGGTTAGCTTTCTGGTTGTGAGTGTTGAGTGCCGAGTAGCAGTATTCGGTCTACGTTTGCAAAAAGAGGCTGCGCAGGCAACGGGCAAAGCAGTGTCTGCAGTCAGCGAGTGCGGGACTGTGGGACACGCAGGACAAGACCGTCATATCAATAAGCAAGGACCCGAGCTGCGCCCGCCGACCCGCGCTGAGAACCAGGAAGATCGGAGTGGGAATCGGAATTGGAACTTGCTGGTTCGAACAAGAATCTAGTTATCAAGCTATCCTCTTTCGGTCCAACCCTTGTTATCGAGCCAGGCTCGGAGGCGCAAGCCTTCCGTTGATACGCTTGGTTTGACCAAGCGACTTTCCATGCGCATGGTTTGACTTTTCAGCCGAGCACGGAGGCGCGATCCAAGTGCTTTTCCATGTGCCGCTTCGGCAACCCTACCCTTGCTCGACGGCTCGGCTGAAAGCAAACCTTGGTCCAAAGCGGCCAGCGGCTTTCGTATAAAGCTAAGAAACCTCGGTACGGAGCAGGACCCTCTTTGCGAAGCCGGACCTCATCACGGAGGACCTTCATGTTCCATTGGACTCGGCTTCAGAATGCCGATCCTGTTGCCGAGAGGAACCACGGTATGATACGGGGGCGCGGGGTTACAGAATAGCATACACAGACATGAGTCATCGGCGATAATCTTGTAGAGAGAAGCGGGAGACGTGGATGACTGCTCAGTGTGCGAGCAACTGACGAATCCTTTGTGCGTATCGACTTGTGTCGGGGTCAGAAAGCCCGAGGAGGAAACCATCGTCATATGATCATGCTGGAGCAGGGTTGCTGAGGCAATCCCCGCACCTCGGTGAGCGATCCACGTAATGCACAGATAACCGCATGGAGTACAGGGCAGTGCTGAATGCGGGCGGTCGTTGTGAGCTTGTGAGGCATGCTTCGCGGTCAAAGTCAGCTGTTGACTGTTCAGGCCGTAGGTGAGCGGAGCGAGTGGTATGGAGGCCAGAAAGCCCACGGATACTCTGTATTGAAGAGAGACCATAAAGTGAATTGACCAATTGTACCTTATTGGTAGGTCCAGAGCTGAGGTAAGCGGAAAAAAAACACCTCGTGGTCGGGGTTGTCATGCATCTGCTGACGGTCATTTCATTGTACGGCACGTGTGCGTTGTGGATATTCAGCGTGCTATATTCTTTTACTCTTCTCAAAGAATAAAAGGTGTAAGAGAAATAGTTCATGGATGCTTTCCAGGACAGCTCGCACCAGGAAGTGCTGCAACAATGAGGGGTCGGACATAGAACGGGGATCTGAAAGTTTCGAAGTTTGCAAGGCAGAAACACTACGCTTGCATTCAGTAGTGCATGTTTCACTTTGTGGGAGGGAGGGAGGGAGGGGTGGGTGGTCGGTCTGATGATTCGGCTACCCGGTCCTGGCTGCAGGATGAGATGAGAGCGACAGTCCGTGGATGCTTTCCACGAAAACTCTCATCGGAAAATGCTGTGGCGATGAGGGAGTCCGACTATCTATCCACTGCTGTTCCAAAGTGTTTGCTAGGCAAGAAAGGCTCTCTTGCATTCTGTTCAATTTTCACCTTTCGGTCGGTCGGGAGGGAGGGCGTGGAGGGAGGAAGGAAAGGAGGGAGGCAGGAGGGAAAACGATTCCGATGAATCTACTGCCTCGGTCTGGTCGCAACAAGACTGGTAAATGATGACGGAGGTCCCTGCACGATTGTCTCCAGCTCCGCTCCTGAAGAGAAAGTGTGTAGTGTGGAGCACACACACACACACACACACAGAGAGAGAGAGAGAGAGAGAGAGAGAGAGGGGGGGGGGGGGGGGGAGGGTGTGGGTGGGGGACAGCAGTGTTGGAAGGAGTTAGGTGGCTTTATCTTAAACCACCAGTACACGCCCGGGCCTGCAGGCCCCTTACCGCGCGCCAAGCTTATCTGAATCGCCAGCGGTGCACTTTTCTTCGTTTTGGGCTGGCGCCGCCAGCCATCGTGGTCCTGTAGGCTGACTGAGTGTCGAAATTTTTTGTAGGCTACGAGTTTCTTTTTCAGCAAGGCTGGGGCCAACCTGTACTGGTGGTTTTATGTCATCTAGCAGCCTAGCCGGTGGTAAATCAACCAGCTTTCTGGAAACCAACCTGCTTTCCTCGGCGTCACGATAATTTTTGAAATATCAGTGACTTCTGTGGTTGCAGTTTGTGAAATTATTGGCACAAGAAGATACTTATCTTCTTTGCCCTTTTTTTTTTTTTTTTTTTTTTTTTTGCAGAATTCAAATATATTCCTTGGGACTTTTGCAGGTAGTATTCTGCTGCGGAGTGCCTCTGCCCGCAACGTGGCATCATGGTCTGCTGCCTGCTTGATGCTTGGTGATGCCTGGCGATTACAGCCGTATCTGGACTGAAAGCTGCACCAAATACAGCTGTAATCACCAGGCAGCATCATTTTCCCATTTACGAAGTTTCATGCGGAGGCCAATGATTACCACTCGAGGTGGCAGAAGCGGACGACGATGATGATTCGTCTAAAGTTTAAACAAGTTGGCACCTCTTTTTCTTTTCGGCTCTGGCCTGCGCAGCAGAGCTCTGCTGCCTGCTCTTTGTTTTGGAGGGTGAGGGGGCAGGAGAGGGAGGGAGGGAGGGAGGGAGGGAGGGAGGGAGGGAGGGAGGGAGAGCTCTATTCAGTCCGGCCGCAGAGATTTATCGTCGTTTTTTTTTTTTTTTTTTCCCTAAAAGGAATGGGAACTCAATTTGCTGCCTTGGACATCGCTGTGAATAATTCTCCTTTCGTTTTGATAAATGTATTTTTTTTTTTTTTTTCCCTTTTTTCCCCAGAAAGAATGTAACCCCACTTCCAGTATTGACTACTGTTTGTGAAAACTTGAAAGTGAAAACAGAGTGCTAGAAAGAGCAGAGCCCCAGATCCAGTATTGAAAAGGTATTTAAAAGTTTAACTTTTTAAGCAAGATTGAAAACTGGTAGTTGTGGCTGAGGGCCTGAGGCTGGTGCTGCCTGCTCCTCCTGCTTTATAACAGACAGCTAGGCAGACGGACAGACGGACAGAACACCAATACGCAGGAGGACGTAGCAGTGGTGGCTTCCCCGTCTTTGTGATGAGGCTGTATGACACTCAACGGAACATTTTTGACTGCTGCTGGGAACAAGCGAACACCTTCGTCGCGGGTCTGTCTGAACGGGGTGTCGGGCACGTTTGGGACTCCCACTGTGCTGGATGAATCTGACCACAATCACAGCCAGATCTGGACGTATATGACCGCAATTACAGCCAATCCTGGATGTATCCGATGGCAATTACGTCCGGAGCGGAGCGCAGTCGAAAAAAGCGGTTGTCACTACTCTGAACGGTGTCGCGCGGTGCGTTTGGGACATTTGAAGTGGGAGGTGTGTGTGTACTGTGCATCCCACTGAGCACAGAGTTTGATAGAGTACTTTTGCTCTGCTGGGGTACGGTTCTGGGGCTTAGGGCCGATTCATACTGCTAGCCTGCTAGGGCTGTTCTGGATGTATCTGACAGCAATTAACCCCAGATCTCCATGCATCTGACCACGATTACAGCCAGGCGCGAGCATGTATCTGATTGAAATTACATGCAGAGGTCAGTCGAAAAATCCATGGGTGGGTGAGTGTGCTCGAACTCTTCCCTTCCTTCGCGGAATGCTTCTCTACCCTATGTTCACTACCGTCTTCACCCGAATGAAATGTGCACCCGCAGTAGCAGGCTAGTAGCTGCATTTGGGGCTAGTTTTCAGTGTAGATACGGCGATAATGAGGGTGAATTCTATTCGGGTGAAAAACAGTAGGACTCCGCCTTCATCTCTTTGCATTTCACTGTCCTGTCTGCCTTCTTCGTTAATCACCACCTTTCTGAGAGAAGCTATTCTTGTTGTGTCGCTCGTTGAGTTTTTTTTTTTTTTGCCTTGTCTGCAATTGATGAACCTAGACCTGGGGCCTTCCCTTATCCATTGAGTGGCCAATGGATTTACTTAAGTAGGAACCTGCTAGGCTTTTACTTTCCTGTACTGATTACATCCCCTCCCC